GCTCTGTAGCAGGCGGGGGAGTTCCTTGAAGAGGTGGATCTTCAGCTTGCTTTTGGGAGACCTTTAGGAAGGGAACAAGGGAAGGAGATCAGACTTTCCTAGAGCCATGAGTAAGTTTGTCCTGGGTGAAGCACCACACCCAGCTTGCTGGCTGGACAAACAGCTTGTGTTAGAAACTGAAAAAACCAAAAATGCAGAGTGACCCACCAGAATGAATACAGATAACCAGTGGGGACAGGTGTTGTGTGTGGCTTTAGGTAAGCTACCTGAACTCTCTGAATTTTAGGGGCATTATTTGGAATATGCCGCAAACCCAGCGGGTAACTGTTTGATTCAAGTGAGATAAATGAGTGGAAATTCTTTGTAAACAGTGAGGTGCTGTGTGTTGATGGATAACTATGGCAGCCCAGTGGCAGTGGGTGATTAGAGAGCCGCAGCGTTCTGTGCTAGAAAAAAAACAAGAACAGCCATAACCCTTCACATTTTGCCAAGAGATAAGTCAGACCTTAGAGGCCTTGCCCAAGCTGATTTATAGCACAGTGGGAACTAGCAATCCAGCCTCTTGGGTTGAGAACAATGAAAATTCCAAGTCCAAGCCGACTCTCCAGTTAACTGGAATTCCCATCGTGTATCAGTTCAATCTTGGGAGTTTGGTGGAGACCACATGTCCTGACCCCCTGCCACGGCATATCAGGCAGTCAAGAGCAAGAATTCTGACTCTGACCCCAGTGTCATGCTTGGGATTGCATTCCGTCTGACAGATATTTAAGCAAGGGTGTGAGGGCAAGTTGCCAAGTAGTGCAATACAAAACAAATGTCTCATTGTGTTTGTTGCCACACAGTGTGTGGTTTTGTGTGGCCCCCAAACCACTGAGTGGCTGTGATTAGAACGTGACGGTAATTTATAACAACAGTGACTCTTTTTTTTTTCTTGTTCTTTTCTGGTCTACTTTTGTGACATGCTCCAAAATCTTAAGAAAAGGCTGCAAAAGAAATGTTCAGAAATGTTCTAAACGGGTTTGAAAAACTTGTGAACCCTGTCTGAACTTTTATTAGATTGTCCCACCACTCACCCATTTGACATCAGAACAAGGAAAGCATTATTTATAACAGTATGTGTGAAATCCCCAAAGAGATTCTTGAAAGAATTAAAGGCAAAAATCTGTCCTAAAGAAACTATAAGCAGAAAATAAATAAAAACGGGAAAACATATAAATCAAAATGTGAATCTTTTCTTCCATCTCCTTTAAAGTAAACAGGCTTTTTCTTGACCATTAGCAACGCGGGACAAGGAGCCTGGTACTGGGGGCACTGTTATCAGAGAAGCCCCTTGATCATTGCTAAGAGGGGAGTATGGGAGAGTGGCCTGTGTTGATTCTTCTCCTTAATGTTCCCAGAATGGCTGCTTCCCCTGGAGGAAATAAGATGGTAAAGGTCCCAGGGAAGGAAGCAAGGCCTCAAAAATATTTAGTCCATTAAAATTTCTAAAGCACTTTCACAAATGCCTGCTCGAGTATTTGCCTCATGACAATCGTGGGAGGTATGTATGGTGCCCTACCTGTTCTAGGTGGAGAAACTTCACACAGAGAGGTTTGCCAGCTTGTCAAGATGACCCAGCTAGGAAATAGCCCAGTAAGTGCACTGTCGGAATGCAAGGTGCATCCTCAGTGGGACCTTGTCCCCAGCATTGCAGCTGCTGCTGCTCAGGCAGATATGGGGGGCCTGGTGTCTTGCTAGATTAGCCCATCCCAAAGTGTGTTTTTTACCTATCTTGTTCTATGAGCCATACACATGTCCAAATGGTTCTCTGTCTCCTACAAACACATCCAAATTAATTTAACTCACCACATTAAAGTTAAATCCTTTCTTTCTTGCCAGACTTTTCAGATACCTTAATGAGGTTCAGGGTGTTATGAATGTCCTAGAAGTGAAGAGGGTTACAGGATATCTGGTGCACTTGACCTAGGAACTTGTAACATTTTGAGGGACTGATATTTAAAGGAGCACCATGTTGGGTCATAATGTCCCCATCTTCTTGTTGCCTCCATAGACTAATGTCTTCTGTTACCCCCGTGCATAACTATACATCCATCATAAATCTGGATTCTCATTTCAGTATTTTCATAAAAGAAATAATTATGTCTTTTTCACTAAAAAGCAGACCCTCTCACTCCACATAAGTCTGCACTATAACACTCAGCCGTGAGTTGCTTACCCTTTACATCTTTTATCTTTTAGAATTTCTGTAAAATTCAAGGTGTCACACTTGATGGCTCTTGCAGGAAGGCTCTTTACAAGAAGCAATCCATTCCTTCCTAAGGAAAAATGCCTCATTCATCCCCTCTACTTCTTTCAGGAAGATTAGCAGCCACTTCCACTTGTTGTCCAAGATACTTCCCTCTCACGGATGTTTAAATAACACGGCTCTGACAGCACAGCAAGAAGACAAAGTCCCAGTCTCATTGTGATCCCCAGTTCTCTAGGTCACTTGGACCACTGGGGTTGGGTTCTAATGAGAAAGAACAGGAACAAAAAGTGAACAGCTGAGCTAGCTGCAACCCTGCAGTTTGCTGTGCAGAATAGTGATGGGAGCTCTTCTTTAAAAGGTAGGGAAAAGGTTAAATGGGCAGTGTAAGAATAAGGTCTATAGGGGAAGAGATTATTTTTCTCTTGGATTTCACTCCATATTTATTTTTGCAGGGTAGTTGGGCAGAGTGATGCTGTTTTGTACCTTAGGAGATCTGTAGTAAACACTTGCTATGTGGCTGAAAATGATTTGTTGGGAGGTCTGGACCTCAGTCCTCTCTGCACTGTGTGCCAGCAGGGTCATCTCAGGCAAGGCCCTATAACTCCTGTGAGCAGCTTTATCATCTGTAGACCAGAGATGCCACCAGGAGTCCTGAGTCCCTTTGTAGTGTGTTCACGAAATTAAGTGGGACTGTGTATAGATGTTTTGTAAACTGTATGGAGCTTCATCAACCATGGTTTCAGAGAATGGCAGGGAGACTGAGACTTTAGCTCCTTGGGCTCTGGGGTGGAGGCATATTTTTCAGGCACTGTTACTTCTTTCCTTTAAGAAATCATAAGTGGATTTTGAGAATTAGGATAAAATAAAAACTAATAAAATAATGCTATGGGGCATTACTCTTCAAAAATCAGGAACCAAGTTATTCCAGGGCTTAATAATCTTTGAAAATGTGTGTGGCAAATGCCCAGCCTTTTCTGCCATGTAGGCAGAGTAGAGGTGTGCCCGGCGCTGTGGTCCTTGCAAGACCACAGGGCATTTTCTCCTGCGTGCTATTGTGTGCACTGCCCAGGACTGGTGTGGCTGTTCCACACTCATACTGTGAGTCCTTCCAAACATCTGGAAACTTTGAGTCCCCCATGTATAGTAGTAGATTCCCTTTCCCGAAGTCCTGGGCACACGAATGTCAAAGGGCTGTGAGCTATATTCCTTAGTCCACAACTGTGTTGAGCTGGCTGCACAGATTTAACCACCCCCTGGCCCCCACATCCTTTCTGGTTGGCCAGTGCCTGTGCCCCTCTAGCTGTGGTTTGAGTACCAACCCAAATGAATGTTGCTGCCACCTTTGGACACATCAATCAGGCAGGTCTGTGCATGGGGACCTGTCACTGATGAGGCAGGAGTGAGGAAATCTGACTCTATGGAAGCCAACTTGGGCTTTATCAGCTTTTGGTTTCTTAAATGCTGAGTAGTCAAGACATGGGGGCACCATAACCCTGAACCAGCAAGTTATGTCCCTCCCCCTCATATTAGGACTCATCATACAGAGAAGAATGAAAACGTAAAACCTCCCCTTTCACACTCTGGTGCTTTCTTTGGGGCTAAGCGTGTAGCTGGAAAATGCCAAGCACAGCAGACATCTCTGACACTTTAGCTCCTGGGTTGTAGGGCAGGGGCACATTTTCCAGGCACTTTTATTTCCTTTCTTTAATAAATCATAAATGACTTTGTGAATTAGAATAAAATAGAAACTCTGTGGGGCATTCCTCTAAAAACTAGGGGGCTGTGAGTTGTCTTTGAGGTGTAACTCCTGCTGCAGAACAAGCCCCCTGCTGTCTGGTATCAGGCACGTCACACAGCCTGGTGGTGCCCAGGGAATACCAGGATGAAAAATGGGACCTACTAACCACAGGACTTCTGTGCAGAAATCTGTTCATGAGTTTAAAATGAGCAGCCCTGATGGGGCTGAAAATGAAATTCCTAACTTTCCTCCATAAAGTAAGAAGTCACAAACAAGTTTACTTTATCAAAGAAAGTCCTCTTTGCCTGTGCTAACATGATTACCATCTCATGCCTCAGCATCGGTATTTTCACTGAAATGGGCATTTTAGATTGTATTTACTTATTATTGTACATTATCCAAGTAGCACTGCCCTGCAATAGACGGAAGACTTGAGCTTAGAGCCCAGAAACCGGGGTTCTCTGTGTCTATAAGCCACTTGAGCCTCAGCTGCCTCATCTGTAAAATGGGAATGGTTAACTTCTGCCCAGCCCACTGTGGGGTTGTGGTGAGGGGCTCTGAGACAGCACGATGCACCGCTAACACCTGAAAGCAGAAGGAAGCTCTGATTTGAAGGAAGTAGAGTCACTGGGAGGTCATTTTGGGCACAGAGCCCCTACCTGTCATCCTGGCCAAAGTTATTCTGTTATTTACAAGATGGAGTCATCATCCTACCAGAAAGTGTATGCGAGTGTGTGTGTGTGTGTGTAAACCCAAGATGAACATCCACCTAATCATCATCTCTGCTCCTGTCTAGTTCTGACACAAAGAGAATCACAAATAATATGAAAAAAAAATTATTTTTCCCTCTGTCTGTGCTGCTTGAAATTATGAAGAAATCCTATATCCCTTATGTGATAATAAACAATTAAAATTAATAAGTACAAATAAGGAAAGAAAACAGCATCCCCCATGGCTCCGGTCCACACCCGGTTTCTGAATGACTAATGTCTCCCTGTTGATCCCTTCCCACAGGTCGGTGGCCACACGATGCTGCCCATCAGATGGATGCCCCCCGAGAGCATCATGTACAGGAAGTTCACTACAGAGAGTGACGTCTGGAGCCTGGGGGTCGTGTTGTGGGAGATCTTCACCTATGGCAAACAGCCCTGGTACCAGCTGTCCAACAACGAGGTGTGCAGTGGGGCTGGCCACCACCCCCACCCCAAGGGCTGAGACGGCAGAAGCTTACCACTGCTGGGGTTTCCTTTAGGGCTGGAAGTCAGGAGAACATGATCTTATGTGGCTTTGTTGGAGGCAGCACTTCCCAAATAGCCTGCTATGTATCTGAAATTCATGGCCAAAGTCTAGTCTCCCTTGAACATAAGAGTCATGGAGGGAGAAGAGCCCAGTGCTGTCTGAACCGGCCTTGCTTCCCTAGTGAGGGCGCTGAAGAGCCACTTGTGCTGCTCAGCTGAGGAACTGACAGCAGGGTTTTGGTTCTTGTTCCAGTGAAGTTTCAAGCTTCTTTCCTTTTTGCACATTTCACTAGGTCCTTAACTTCTAGTGAAAGACTCAAGCATTTTGTCTTCCTATTCTAATGTGTTTGCAACTGCATCTATATTTGAGTCACAGTGTCTTGGTCAAGGGCCCCACATCTTTGTCAGATCGATCTCTGTCTTTCTAATCTGGTTTCATTGTCCAATATGACTGCTCCTTTCTACAGCCTGGGGGGGTGCTCTGTCTGTCAGCACCTTAACTCAGAAGTGACTCAGGTGCCATCTCGGGCCAGTCAAAACTAAAACCCCTAGGAGTTCCAGGAGGAGGGCTGGGAGCCTCTCCACTAGTTATGTGAAATGAGGGTGGCTGGAAAAAGGTGGACATAAGCCAGTCAAGTTAACCTTGCTACAAACCAGTCAAGGTTAAATGATACCAAAATTGCTCTCTTCCTTCTGAGAAAAATCCACTGTGCCCCTCCCTGCCTTCTTTGCCCGGATGTTTCTTTGACTGGCGCTGCTCTTTCTCCTGTCTCACCCTGTCTTTGGTCTCTCCATGCAGGTGATAGAATGCATCACTCAGGGCCGAGTCCTGCAGCGACCCCGCACGTGCCCCCAGGAGGTGTATGAGCTGATGCTGGGGTGCTGGCAGCGAGAGCCCCACATGAGGAAGAACATCAAGGGCATCCACACCCTCCTTCAGAACTTGGCCAAGGCATCTCCTGTCTACCTGGATATTCTAGGCTAGGGCCCTTTCCCCCAGACCAATCCTTCCCAACGCACTCCTCAGACGGGCCGAGAGGACGAACATCTTTTAACTGCCACTGGAAGCCAGGAGCTGCTCTCCTTACTCTGATGGTACTAACAGCAGAGACACCGAGACTTTCTCAGAGGGAAGCAGTGTGTACTTCTCCATCCGTAGACACAGTGTTGACTTCTTTTTGGCATTATCTCTTTCTCTCTCTCCATCTCCCTTGGTTTGTTCCTTTTATTTATTTTTTCATTTCTTTTACTTTTTTTTTCCTCTTTATTTGGTTGGTCTTCCCTGTTTCCCAGTTCTTACCCTCTCTTTTTAACCAATCTGGCTTCTGCATTACTATTAACTCTGCATAGACAAAGGCCTTAACAAACCCAATTTGTTATATCAGCAGACACTTCAGTTTGCCCACCACAACTAACAATGCCTTGTTGTATTCCTGCCTTTGATGTGGATGAAAAAAAGGGAAAACAAATATTTGACTTAAACTTTGTCACTTCCGCTGTACAGACATCGAGAGTTTCTATGGATTCACTTCTATTTATTTATTATTATTACCGTTCTTATTGTTTTTGGATGGCTTAAGCCTGTGTGTGAAAAGGAAAACTTGTGTTCAATCTGGGAAGCCTTTATCTATGGGAGATTAAAAAACAGAGAGAAAGAAGATTTGTTCTAAACTGCTGTATGGGAGGAACAAAGATAACCATTGGGATCAGCTAGCATCAGTCCCAACGTAGGAATAACCCGGCAACTGGTAGCTGGGAGGAATGTATTCGGCACCTTCCCCTGAGGACCTTTCTGAGGAGTAAAAAGACTGTTGAACTCGGTGCCATGGACTATTCTTTTCCCGTCACTGGAAATACGGAGTGCAGTAGAGAGAAAAGATGGCTTCCGTGAGACACGAGACGGCACAGCCTGTGCTGTCTTGTCTTTGTAGGTCACCGTGATAGCACTGGTTTGTTTTCCAAGTGTTATCCGCTGATCTTTGGTCAAGTTGAGTCAAAAATGGGCGGATTGGTGTCCAGAGATCATTTCAGGATCAGGTGGGAAAACCAAGGACTTGGAAAAGATAGAACAAGCTATAAATTCGGAGGCGAGTTTCGCTTATATTGAACTTCTCAGATAGCACTTCCCTCCGACCCCTAACTGCCACTCCCACCGTCCTTTTAACTGTGCAAGCAAAATTGTGCATGGTCTTCGTGGATTACTACCTTGTGTGCAGAAACTACCGCCGCAGATGTCGTGCCCCTGATAGGTAAAGCAGATCCTTAAAAGGTATGACTTATACAATTAGGGGAAGCTAATGGAGCTGAGTAGCTGAGGATAAACGCCTCTGCCTTGTACGGTGGTGATGGGGTTTAATGAATATGGACCCTGAAGCGTGGATTCCCTCATCCACGTGGAACCCACAGGACTGTGGGAAGGGCAGAATCAATATCCGAGGGAGAGGACAACTCCCCCTGAGGGCCTCACATACATTAATGTTCAGTGTACACGGGCCAAGTCCCTTGCTCTGGGCTCTGGTTGGGAGAGTGGTTTCATTCCGGTGTACCCCATTGTCAGTATGCTGTTTTGTTTTCTTCACTCCATTAAAAAAGTCAAAATAAAATTTAGGCACAGCATGCCAATGGGAGGCTGTGCCCAGACCTAGCATTGGAGGTGTGCGTCTCTGGGCATAGTCACTGGTTTTGCAGAAAGGGCGTAAATTCAAATAGAAATTTACTGTTATCTGGATGGTCAGATATACCAAGGAAGGCAACTATTTCTGTTCCTCAAGAAAACTTGCTACCCTCTGTGAGGGGAATTTTGTTAAACTTGACATCTCTATAACATGAGCCAGATTGAAAGGGAGTGATTTTAATTCATCTTAAGTCATGTGATTTCGTATTTGTTTCTGAAGGTGCAATAGCTCTGTTTTAGGTTTTGCTTGCGCCTGTTAATTACTGGAACCCCTTGTGTTCTATTAGAGGCTTCGAAAGCCAGTTCTCAAAAATTCAAAAGTGTAAATTAACAGAGAACAAAAGGCAATCCAGTAGCATCTGCAGTGAAACGAGGGGGTTGGACAAAATAAACTTTACAGTCCCTTTGAGTTCTGCGCTGGCCTAGGAGAGATGGAGTTTGAATTGTTTGTTCTCTTTGGCGGTGAAGAAAAATCCCTCTGGATACACATAATAATCTAACGAAAGCCATATCTCAATGATATATACATGCATGTATATATCCTCTTAAGGACCCATGGTACTGTTAAAACACTGTGGACCCGTAAAGCAGGAAGGAAGGGGCAGATTTGTACAAACACTTTTCTAGATTCCATCAGCAATGACCTGAAAACCTATACAGGTTTGTTACCTGTGTGTGTCCAGCCAGCTGCTCTGGGGGAAGAAGCTGCACATTATTGCTTTTATTTTAAGAGAGCAAAGGATCAAATTCAAGAAGGGCTGTGAAGTCTTAGGCAGACAAGAAGATGGGAGCGTTCCATTCCAGTTTTGTGTTTTCTTGTGAAATCAAAAAGCAAAAAAAAAAGAAAGAAAAAAAGGAAAAGAAAAAAAGAGAGAAGGAAAGAAAGAAAGAACAGAGAAAGAATTCTCCTTACACCTTCTGACAAGTCTCTCAAGATCTTGAAAAGTTCTATGCAACTGCAAAGTTTTATAGTTATTTATATTACTGATTATTATTATTTCCTCTGTTGTCTCAAGAGTATGTGCTGGCTTCAGAGATGTCACACATTGAAAGAATATCGATAACTTTTAAACTAGCTGAATGAGCCACAGAATATCTTTAAAAAATTGTCACTTTTCTCCCACCACCCCCTTTCTGGTGGTCTAATTTTCAGAAAAGTAGCATGCTTATGCTAAAATGTATAGTCACCAAATATGGCCTGCCAACAAATAGGTTAAAAATTACAGTAGTAGCAGTGACAAACATATTTCTTTAGCACACACCCAATCTGACAATCATTTCCACTTACAAATTAATAGTTTTCCAAACACTTTTTACATGTGTTAGCAAATTATTCCTATATATTTTTTTTTATTAGGTGAGGAACGTGAGACTCAGAGAAGCTCAGATGCAAGCTAGAAGGCTCCAGCTTCTGGCCCCACTGGGACTTAATCCAAGTACTCTGACTCTGAACTTCATGATTCTGTCCACTAGAAATTCAAATATTCAAACAAGCGTTCAGGAAAGAAAGCACACTAACAAATTCATGAAACAGAATGTGAAATTAGAAGAACAAAAGGCAATACAGGAGATGATAAGCAGCTGAGATACTGTGATATATAATCATGCTCTTAGCTTCAGCGAAATCCTTGTACACTGAACCAATGTCATAATCAGGCTTATCTAGAAAACACTTGGAACTGTGCTATAAACGATTATATCAGAATTCATATTATACATGTGTTCACATCCGTGCTACGTGTGATATTTCCATGTATTTATATATGTGTTATAAATACTTGATTTATACATATACAAATGCACAAACATAGTGTTTGTGTGTTTATGTATAAATTTATAGGCACATAATAATAGAGATAATTATAAGTAGGGTACAGTATGAATAATTTGCTTAAAATCTGCTGAATAACCAAAACTTTTTAATGTCTTGTTGCTGTTAGTGCTTCCATCCTCCATGTGGGTAGGACACATCACACTTTTCAACTCTGTGCTGTACTGCATGGGTGGAAGGCATATTTAAGATAATGGGCTTCCCAAAACAACCGAATAATAGCCATCCCACCACACTGAGTTCATTCTCTGGTTCCTTGCAAAGGAAAATGCAGACTGAATTAGATCGTGTTATGCAAAGGTCCAGGAAAGGAAAATCAATTTTGTTTTGTTATTCTGCATATTTGTACTATGCTCACCTTGTCTTGTCCCGCTGTGATCCCTTTATACTTTGTGTTCAGAGTCTAAGCATTCTGGGTGTGAATTGCAATGTCACGATCCCAGTGTCTCGAAGGCCAATAGCGAGATGTCCAAGACCTCACAGTGAGATGAGCAAGTCTTAGAGATTCTCACATCCAAGTACGAATGTACCAACCAAGAGTGGAGGATGCTGTCCTTTGCAAAGCATCATGACGACAGGATTCCCTGGGTCAAGAACGGACTTTTTATCTTTTTTTACCTTCCTTTTTGCAAATTGGACAGCCTGTTACACTAGTAATGTTAAATCATATCTAATCAAATAAATGACTACATCTACACACACATCTTTGATTTTTCTGGCTCCCCTCTTTTTTTTCCCCCTTTCCTGTTTGAGGACTTTCATTTTCCATGTTGACCTTTGGTTTGGCCATATATCACACTGTTCCAGGATATCCCATGAGAGGAATGGCCAGTGACCCAACTCCCCAAATGCCTAAGTTAGTCAGTAGTTAAAGCTGATTCTTTACGATGCTTAATTGATATGTGGACACTCTGAGGTTATGATAGCTTGCACATGCATTTCAAATGTTATTCTAAAGGGATGGGAGGGATTTTACAGTTAAAAATAGTGCAGAAAGGGGTATTTTGCTTGTTGTCAGGGCTGGAATGAATCACTGCTGCTCAAGTCAAAGTTATATCCTTATTTTTTGCATTTCCTCCCCTCCTTTTCCTTGACCTTTATTTATTGAATTATGTATTTATTTATGTATTTATTTATTTATCTGTTTTTGCTCCATTCATCACAAATACAAAGCAAAGCAAAAAAAGTATATATATATATATATGTATATGTATATGTATATGTATATGTATATATGTGTTGCAGGCAAAAACACTGTGAATTTCACAACTACCACCAAGCAACTATTTTGCCATGTTAACATACGTCTCAGGAGACGAAATCGGGAAAAATGGGGATGTCATTTTTAAGTCTCTGCATTTGAGGCCAGGTCCATGTTTATTTTATTTCTTTGGTCTGTGCATTAATGAAAATGATTCTGAGTGAAGGCTGACTGAATGTTCAATGTACTGGAGCAAGCATAACAGAAGCTGCTAACAGCCATGTGTTTAAATGAGGGGAAAAAAAAATGGAGACAATGAAATATAATGTAAAGGCCTACATCTTGCAGCTTGTATATCTTACTATTGCTTTAAAAAATGTATAAAACAGCTGGAAATGTTTTAAATACAAGGTCTTTGAATTAAATGTGGATTTTAAAAATGTGTAATCCCTTGACAAATGACCAAACTACGGTGAACTCCCTGCGTTCCTTGACCACTACCTATGACTTACAAATCTGCCTGGAGATGTGGACACTCTGCATTTGCTGCTGTATCTGGAGAGATGTTTGTATATATCCGGGCCATATACACACACATTTCAGTATCTCTCTGCAGATATATTTCCCCTTCAGTTGTGACCTGGTATTCGGAACTCTCTCTCTTTTCATTTGGTTTCTTTTCCTTTTAATGTGATGTCTCTGTGCCAACACTTACCGGTTCCTGTTTTGCAATCTGTTTTGAGGTCCATTGCTTTACTAAGACCCACTGCATCTTGGCTGATTTCAAAGTGACACCTGAATACAGTGTTTCAAAAACAACAACAAAAAAAGTTTTGTTTGTAAATCATGTGACCAGCTTCTCTCAACCTGATATGGAAAGTCTCTTGTACTACAGTGTATTTAATAAAACTGATGTCTTACAATAAATAACATCCTCCAAAAGAGAGACTAACGGTGACATGATGGTTACTTCTGAAAATGTACGGAATTTCCACAAAGCATGGTGTGTTCTAATAGGATGGGATTTTTTTATTTGTTTTGTTTTGTTTTGTTTTTAGAGACAGAGCCTTGCTATGTTGCTCAGGCTAGAGTGCAGTGGCATTCGTATGATGATAGCACATTACAGCCTCATACTCCTGGGTTAAAGCAATCCTCCTGCCTTAGCCTCCTGAGTACCTGGGACCCACAGGAGTGTGCCAGTGCACCCAGCTTCAGATGTGTATTTTTTAGATATGGTCATGAAGATTCCTGCAGTCAGGGTAAGTGACCTTAGGTACCAGTTTCCTGGCTGATCGCTCCACCAGTCTGATATTTTCAACTTACAGCTTAGGTAACTAGGGCA